TGAACTTGCGGCACACGGGGCGGATGTCGCGGCTCAGCGTGGCGCTGAACATCATGACCTGCTTCTCGTGCGGCGTCATGCGGAAGATCTCCTGCACGTCGCGCCGCATGTCTGCGGGACACGCGTGTTACACACGTGTTCACGCGTGTCCCCCCGTGTCCCCACGCTGCACCGCGTGTCTGCGCGGGGACACGCGTGTTACACGCGGGGACACGTGTCCCCGTTGCCCCACGGCCCCGTCCCGCGGGACACGTGTGTGACACGCGTGTCCTCGCGCGTGACACGGGCCTCCATGTCCCCAAGGGTCCCCATGTCCGTGGGGCACGCGTGTGCACACGTCACCCACGTCCCCAAGGTGTCCCCAAGGTGTCCCCATGTCCCCCAACGTCCCCAATGTCCTCTAGATGTCCTCAAGGGTCCCCAAGGTGTCCCCAAGGTGTCCCCATGTCCCCAAGGTGTCCCCAATGTCCCCAAGGTGTCCCCAATGTCTCCCAATGTCTCTAGATGTCCCCAACGTCCCCAACATGTTCCCAACGTCCCCAACGTCCTCTAGATATCCTGAATGTCCCCTGGATGTCCCCAATGTCCCCAAGGTGTCCCCATGTCCCCAAGGTGTCCCCATGTCCCCAATGTCCCCTAGATGTTCCCAGTGTCCCCTAGATGTCCCCAATGTCTCCAATGTCCCTGAGGTGTCCCCAATGTCCCTGATGTCCCCAAGGTGTCCCCAATGTCCCCCAATGTCTCTAGATGTCCGCAACGTCCCCAACATGTTCCCAACGTCCTCTAGATGTCCTGAATGTCCCCTAGATGTCCCCAATGTCCCCGAGGTGTCCCTGATGTCCCCCATGTCCCCAATGTTCTCTAGATGTCCCCAAGGTGTCCCCAATGTCCCCAAGGTGTCCCCATGTCCCCTAGATGTCCCCAGTGTCCCCTAAATGTCCCCAATGTCTCCAATGCCCCCGAGGTGTCCCTGATGTCCCCAAGGTGTCCCCAATGTCCCCCAATGTCTCTAGATGTCCCCAACGTCCCCAACATGTTCCCAATGTTCTCTAGATGTCCTGAATGTCCTCTAGATGTCCCCAATGTCCCCGAGGTACCCCCAATGTCCCTGATGTCCCTGATGTCCCCAAGGTGTCCCTGATGTCCGCCATGTCCCCAATGTTCTCTAGATGTCCCCAAGGTGTCCCCAATGTCCCCCATGTCCCCCTGTCCCCCAATGTCTCTAGATGTCCCCAACGTCCCCAACATGTCCCCAACATCTCCAATGTCCCCAAGGTGTCCCCAGTGTCCCCAATAGCTACTGAGCTGCTCCAGCATCTTGCCACACTTGTCCAGGATGAAGTGAAGCCCCCCATGTCCCCAATGTCCCCTAGATGTCCCCAAGGTGTCCCCAATGTCCCCAAGGTGTCCCTGATGTCCCCCATGTCCCCAATGTTCTCTAGATGTCCCCAAGGTGTCCCCAATGTCCCCCCGCGTACCGAGCTGCTCCAGCATCTTGTCACACTCGTCCAGGATGAAGAGAAGTCCCCCCATGCCCTCAATATCCTCTACATGTCCCCAATGTCCCCTGGATGTCCCCAAGGTGTCCCCAATGTCCCCAAGGTGTCCCCAATAGCTACCGAGCTGCTCCAGCATCTTGTCACACTCGTCCAGGATGAAGTGCTTGATGTGCTTGAGGTTGAGGCTCTTGTTGCGGGCGAGCGCCAGGATGCGCCCGGGCGTCCCCACCACCACGTGGGGACAGCTCTTCTTGAGCAGCTCCTCGTCCTTCTTGATGGAGAGCCCGCCAAAGAACACGGCCACCTGCGGGAGCGGCTCTTGTCGCTGGGGGCCTTGGGGACCTCAACGTCCCTATGGACCAACCTGGAGACCCTCCTGTCCCCAAGGGTCCCCATGGCTCCTTGAGGAACCTCCTGTCCCCATAGACCAACCTGAGACCCTCCTGTCCCCAAGGGTCCCCATGGC